TTATATAAAGAAAGTGCGCACTGACTTTTAGAAACTTTTGGAAAGCTTCACAACTAAAGAGCTTAGGAAAAGTAAATAAGGAATAGAGGGTGAGTAATCTCAAATTTTTGAATAGAAATCTCCATCCAAAAGCCTCCAAAAGAATCAAATCTCAATGGAAATCTCCAAATGTTTAATAGAAATCTCAATCCAAAAGCCTGTAAGATAAGCAAATCCCAGCAAATTCAAAAGGGAAAAAGTAAACTATAACAATAAAAAAAAATCCACTACAACTACCCCTCAAAAAAAAGACATTATTCTAGGGGCCTTTATAAATCAGTGCAGGGAAAAAAAAAAGACATAATTCTAGGGGGGTTTATAAATCTGAGGGCCACATTAGGCAACAATCTATTTTAGTAATTTCTATAATATAGTTACAATATTTTACCATACGAGTGTTTCGCAAATAAGAATCCTCGGACTCTCTATGGAGATCGAACCCTCCACAGCAAGGGTTTGGGACCCAAACCCCAATGTGTTGGTTTGGGTCCCGATCCTTTGGGTGGACCTGCCTGCAGCTCGCTGCCTGTTCGGTTGACAAGTTGAAGGTGTCCACTCACGCCCTCTATCAACCACTGGAAGGGGGTCCAGCCGCACATAGTGTATATGTTCTTCTCAAAATGCGAATGCAAGCGTTTGGGTCGAGACCTGCGTTTGGGTCGAGGCACAGGTTTCCAAAGGTTCTGGCATCTTTAAGTCTTGTACAAAATAGGGCTACAGGAAGGATGGTGCTACATCGAGGGTGGCTGACACACCCAAAAACTGCCAAATGAACTTTTGCCCTGGTACTGACTGCCGGAGCTTCAATAGTATTACAGAGTCAGACATCACGGTGGTTTTGATGTATGAAGGACCATCATTTGCCTGGATTTGTTTCCGAACCCTAGGGTCACCATCCTCCTTCTCCGGCAGCCAGGTACAACCTGTTGGCCTTGTACGCCCAACCTTGCGCTGACCAGGATCCTGTCAGGGAGCCAAGTCTCAGCTTCGCAGCTTCGTGTCAACGGAAGGTGCCACCGCTTCGTCACAGGGTGGACGCCACAGGGTTGACCCATCACACCCTTTTCAGGTGCTGGAGGGAAGTCCATTGATGAGCTTTTCCTACCCAGTCAGTGGATAACCTTTAGTCACCAAGGGGTGGTGTTTAGTCCCTAAGTGAGTGGATAATGGACACCCCTATCCTCCAATAGGCACCCGTTTGTGAGTGCCGGTAGAACCATTTTTGAGGATTGGCTTCCCCACTAAAAACGGTACAGGTGGAAAAGGACACTGAGGGAGTCAGTTTTGGAAGTTGAAGGTAGATGCATGGAAGGTTTAGGGCTTTTCTGGGTGGTGCCATCAGTGCCATCTAGGAGATGTCCAGAGATGTCCAGAGAATCGGCTAAATCGTCCACCGAAATGGGTCCACCACCATGTCTGTGACAAAGATCCTGGATCGTTCTGGGCTACGTATATACATGCTCAACGCATTGATCTATAGATTTTAATCTCCACCGTTTTTTAAGGCGCCCTCAAAAGGATTCAAAAGGCCTTTCTTTCAAGAAAGAGCCGGAACTCTGTGCCCAATTCTTGAAGGGGAGTATTCTTCTATGGTGTTGATATTTCTACACCAAGTCTTTAATTTGCTTCAGGTCCAAAGTCTTGGAACACTCGGACCTGGAGAGAGGGAGAGAAGGAGAGAAAGACTTGGGGTCCCAGATCCGCTCTCCGTCTCTGCACCAGAGGCCGTGTATTTCTGCACCCGGGAGCGCGTTCCGAAGGGCAGCGCTGGGGCCCCCAGGAACCGGCAACCGGGTGCCCCTTGGTTTGCTTCAACTGGTGGAACACACATGGGTCATACCCATGTGTCCGGAATTCCATGGGTGTTCCTTAGAGGAGCAAACTGTTTTCCTCCACAAACATCAGAAGTGGACGCCTTTTGGAAGACAGTTGCAACCTCTAAGAGAGGTGGGATGCTCGATGATGCGAACGGAGGCAGGGTGCAGAATGCACTGAGTAAGAGCTATAGCAAGAACAGACTGAGGTATCTACTCACAGCAATCAACAGAGGCATAGTGCATTTGGTTTTGCAGAACGTTTGCAGAATGTTTGCAGATTGTAGAGACCGCACATGAAGTCACCCCACATGCGTATCATGCACTGGTGTATCATACGCGCATCTACTTGATTGACTAGGCACTGACTTGCAGATGCATGGTACCCTCCGAGTCACTAACTAACATGGGAAGTAAAGGTGATCCTCGGAAGAGTTTTCCTCTACCGTCCACCACGCTTCCGTTGTCCATATGTTCGTCGTTTCGTCGAACGCATGCAATCTACACGTGCCAGGACCCCCCAAAAATACGTGTTTTGTTTTTTAAAAAAATGAGTTTTCAGATGTTTTCAGTAAGGGGTGCCTCTGAACCACCATGAACCACGCCTTGGGGGTCCTGAAGGCAAGTCTGAACTCTTCCTATCCGATACCCACGGCGGGTCTGCTGCGGGTCACGTGACCGGCAGCTTGTGCGGTCCACGCGGGTCCCGGCGCAGCTCTGCGGACACGGGGCGGGCGGGGAAGACTCCGTGGCGGTTGGTTTTAGAGGCTTCATTCACCAGCAGGATCCGGTCTGTGGAGAATCCGGTTGGTGGGATCGCAAGCCGCAAGCTGTATGTTTCACATGCCGCGGGCGCCCTTCGTAAAGGAGCTCTTCGTTTGCTATGGCTACGACCATCCTCGAGAATATCCTTGGGCCCCTCAACTGCAACACCGGGGGTGAGAGAAGGTCTCACAGGAGTTATCGTACAGAAGCATATTGAAGAGCAAAACTACGTCATGTCGTCCTCAAACCATCTCAAAACCACTCAAATGAAGGGTGTGTTGGACTTACAGGAGCATTTAGGAATGTGTGTGCCCTCCCTTCTCGAGCATATGAACTCCCTTATCAGACACCTTTGTCCCTCACCTCGTTCATGGCCGGGAGTACAGCAATACCATCAACATGCAGTGATATGAGCTGCAGTCAGTTGCAAAATGCTGACAAAGTGTCTCGAAATGCAGCGCAACGTTGTTTGGCAACACATGCTTTCCCAGAGGGTAGCATCACACAGCCATGTACCAGCCATTACCAAGCCTATCTACATCTATCTACACCTGCCTGCGGCCACAGCCTCTCTGTCAGAACCCCCCCCAAGACGTCCGATTCTGAGGCAGATCCTGACATCGACTTGGACACACACCAACGCCAGCAGATCTGCCAGAGGCAGGGGCCTCACTTTGGGGCACTTGCCCACCTGGGTTGGCGACAGGACTTGGGCAAGTGACCTTCCACAAAAGGGAAGTGCGACGTGGAAGTGGATCAGACTACGAGCGATCAACCAGCTCATGAAAGACTTTGACGTGGCTGCACAACTGACGGAGGCTTCATGTCATGAAAGCTAGCACCAGCTAGCTGGAGTTGTTTGTGCTTTAGCAAGTGGGGGTGGAATCCTCGAGAGCACCGCATCGTATGAAAACTTCATGCGTACGGGGCCCCCCCTTCCACCGCGGGGTTCAACTCCAGCCTGGGACGTCTCTGGGACGTGTGCATTTGCATGCTAACGTAACCCCGCCATGCTAGCTTTCGTCACCAACCCTCGGCATCATGTTGACGTCAATACGATGCGACTTTGTCATGCTGGAGATTGAT